GTGGGGAGAGGTGGTCACATGTAGTTGGGCAACATGGTGGTGGAATCAGGAGACCTGGGGGCTGTGGAAGAAGAACAGGAGGAGTGGTCCAGAGAGGGTGGGAGGTGAGTCAAGTGGGGTCATGGCATGAGCAATGGGGTGTGGGTAAGAAAGCCATGGTTAGGATTGGGGAAGCCATGCACTGGGGATTGCTCATCAGCAGATGACCCACCGGGGAGCTTTTCATCTGTGCCCTGTTCCCTCCTGGGTTAATTACATGCACCTCGAGGGTGATGTTTTGGATGCTGTTATGTTTCCCACTGTGTTTTGTGTTTCCCATTGTTGCTGGCCCTGGATTGGGCATGGGGTATGACATGAACACGATCCTGGGCATGGGCTGCAAAGGTGAATCCTCCAGGAGCTTGCTCTCTGTGGGATCCCAAGGCTGGCTGGAGAGGAGTGGCAGCAGGGAGGTGGGACATCAGAGAAGGTACCCACCACAGGCAGACAAGGTTCGTCTCCTGTCTGTTATGTGGTGCCTTTTGAGAGATTAGCCTTTTAGTTTAGTCCTTCCTGTAAGATGGGTAGAACAAGTGATACCCCAACTTTATGGTGTACAGTTGCAGGTGAGGCTCAGGGAGGGGAAGTACCTGGCCCAGGGTCATACTCCCAGGACCCTGTTCTATTGGTTCTTCTGACTCGCAGTAGTTTTCTTTCGTTAACCTTTCTTTTCTCCTCTTTCTGTGCTGCCTGATTGTCCCTGCCATCTCAGCTCAGTAGCTTTTCCTGGGATAACTGTGATGAAGGAAAGGACCCTGCGGTGATCAACAGCCTGAGTCTGGAACCTGACCCCATTGTCATTCCTGGGAATGTGACCGTCAGTGCTGAGGGCAGGACCAGTGTCCCCCTCAGTTCTCCTCAGAAGGTGAGCCTGGAGGTGGGTGGGGAAGGGGAGGTGCCATGGGCCAGCTCCCTGAGGGTATGTGCTCAGGGAATTGTGAGCAGCAAAGGACTCATAGATTCAGAGACTCTTACTCAGGTTCATAGAATCTCAGGATCATAGGATTGAAAGGCGTCTCTGATGTCAGCCCCAACACCTTCCCAATGAGGCACAGTGACTGAGACCTCACTTCTTGTAGGGGGCGCTCCAGCCTGAGGCCGTGGCCCACCGCTCACTATTGTCTGACAGCTCTGGTTGGCGATTTCGTTTTGTTGTTGTTGTTACTTACAAAATAGACATATCAATTAGCCAGTAATAGATACTCACTTTAGAAAATGCAAGTAGTCAAAAAAGGAAAAAATAAAAATAAATCAGCTGAAATCTCACTACCTAGTGATAAAGGATAAGCACTTTTAACATTCTGTGGGATATTCTTTGCCACGTCCCCCATATAATCACGTATATAACATATGTATTTATTTCTAATGGATATATATGAAAATAAGCAATGCACTTTGTTAATGTTCTCCTGTAATCCCACTCCTCAAGAGATAGCTGGGGCCGGCCCGTGGCTCACTCGGTAGAGTGCGGTGCTGATAACACCAAGGCCACGGGTT